TGATTCCTATAGCTCCTCCTTTCATTCTATGACCTACTCCCATCCATCTAATAAATCCCCCAATTAAACCATCCCAACCTAAGTTGAATTGGGTTTCTGCCAGTTGCAATGGAAACGTCCCTGGCGGTATAGAGACTGAAGGGTAAAAGTGGAGTGTTACTTATCAGTGGCCTTCTATCTCTGTCCTTGGTTCCAGGCCCAACTTCCATATCTTCACTTATTCGATATTTATATTTTGGTTTTCAAATTCAGTGATACATCTAAAACTGAAAGTGTCATCTCCTGTTTCTGTTGATTTTTGTCAGTGATTCATTCTCCTATTCCCCAGGTTCGAAACCAGTGTTGCCTTGGACTCTATTCTCTTTTTCTTGCCATGAAGTCTCATTGATTCTTTCTTTACAAGATGTTTCCAATTCATCTTTTTGTTGTTTTGTTGTTTTTGTGTGTGTGTCCCCTCTATGTTCTTCTGCTTCTAGTTCCTGTTCTGATCTAATTTGCCTTCATTTTTTACCACAATAATTCTGCTAAAAAAATTTTTTTGCCTGACTTTTTTTCTGCTTAATAATTTTCAATGGGTCTCTATAGCCTGAGGAAAAGCCCAAACTCCTTTGACACAGAGTACCCTGCAAGATGAAGGCTCTCCCTCAATTTCCAGTGTTTTCTTTCACTCTGCTTCAAAATTAGCTCTTGATCCCATTAGCCATGGTCCCCGAACACAAATTCCCCATTCCTGTATCTCTGCCTTCATCCCACTTCACCTTCCCACTGGAAAGTCCACCCCTTCCTCTTGTCCTACCCAAATCCTGGCTGATAAAACTCAGGTCCCTGTGCTGCTCCAGCCCATAGTGCTTTTTCTCTCTCTCTTCATCCCTCCTGTCTGTCTTATGTGTTTAATACATTTATTGTCTTGAACTGTGGCATACATTTTGTTCTTGCCAGAGTTACCCTTTATTCAGACTTTAATTTGTGTGAAAACAGAACCCATGTCTCCTAATTTGGGTTTTCTATTCCTCCACTTCCACACACCCAACACTATGCATCATAGGTGCTTAAGAAATTTTACTTTGTTATTTCTTTAAAATAAAAGGCTATGCTTTGTCTGAAGTCTGTTTTGTCATGTGATATCGGTATTGTGGATGATAAAGATGTCGGTGGAAAAATAGCTAAACACCCCTAAGTTTCTCTCTATACTTCCCTGCTGCACTAATAAATGTGCCCTGTTCTTCCCACCATTGTCTTTGCTTTTCAGGAACAATAGGCTATTTTCCTTTTTAGGAAATATTATCACACTCTGATAAAAAGTTCTCTTGTTTATTAGTCTCTCTTCCATTCACTCTTCCCCAAATGTCATTTTAGACAGGCAGATCTGTTTCTGAAGTTCAAAGAGAAAAGAATCAGCAGACTCAACGGCACATAACAAAAGACGATGCGTGGTATCCTTGTTTCTTTTTATTGGAAAGGAATCATTTCTATTCTAGCGCAAACAATGTATATTTTACATCATAAAGCAAGATATAATTTACATATTACATTTCTTACGAGATCTTTATACCCTAAATGTCATTCCCTTTTTTATTCGGTCACCTCTTCTGGTTCCATTTAACGTGCCACATACCCCATAAATCAGCACCTCGTTTCCAAGGGACTGGGGACACAGAGCGTTTGTAAGTATTCATCCGTATCTGAGTATAATGATGGTGAGGAGCAGGGGTATGCCTTTGAACTCTGGCTCTGAGTTCCTCTCTTGACGCCTGACTCAGGAGCCAGAAGGCTCCTCCTCCAAATCACATATGAACTCCTACTTATGTCAAGTCAATAATAAATGAACAACACCGAGTGCTTATACCATGGGTATACTTCTTGTTCAAGTGCTTAGATAATAGATGCTTGTGGTATGCATTCACCAACAATGCCAGTTCCTATGGCTGACCAGTACTGGTTCTTCCATGATATTCCCAGACATCTCTTGCTCAGGGAATATTGCAATATTGGGTAAAACTGCCCCGTTTCACCTAACATTAGGGTTATGGGTTCAGACTTGTCTGTTCACCACTAAAAATGGATGTCAAGATAGAAGCTTCAAGTGACTTTACATGACCCTCTATCTCTTGGCTGCCTCTTCTAAGATTTCGTCCCTCTTAGCATAATTTTTTTTAATGTATGATTTTTGTTCCCTGCACTGTAGTCCAAATCCTCTTTCAGCCATTCTTCCCAAACCTCCAACTCCAAAAGTTTACCAATTTCTTGGGTTGCACTGATTTCACAAAGAATGTTTTAATCTGTCAGGATGCACTGTTCCTTTGAAACTCAATAATCCACAGCAGCTAATGGGACAAAAGAATCCAGGGACTCTTTGGGAAGCAAGTAGTATGTGTTGTTAGCCAGCTTATGTGAACCATTTGGTAAGAAATGTTTGAATAGTAGGTGAAAAGAAACACACACAGGAAATTGGTTGATGAGAGCAAAATGCATCAGATGGGCTTCCTTCTTGTTACAGAGAAAAGTACAGAATCAGCATTCAAAATACATTTTCAGATTCGGGGATATTTGACTGAAAAAAATAACACAATGAGCTCAATCTGGTAGGCCAAAGCAAGAAACAAATATGTTCTCAAAGTGCATCTTAAACCCCAATTCCTTGCCTGCCACTGAAAGTTGACACATTTGGCCAAAATCTATCTGAAACTTTTAAATCACTGATAACTAAAGATATTACAACCAAGCTGGCCAGGATGAAAATGTAAATTGAAAATGTGTTTGCTCTGTGTATCTTAGATTACTTTGGTTAAATGATGTGAATTCTGAGAGGTCTATAAATATAAACCTACTTCTCATTTCCAAATGCAAAATTATAAGCATTAAAAGCAAGGTAGCATTTCCTTGCTAGAAAACAAGGTACTGTATCCTTCCTCTAGCCTTTTATAGTCTCCTTCCTTTCATGGCTACAAAGTGCTGAAAATACAAGAGACTATGGGAAAGAATGAAGGAGCAAATGAATAGGGCCTCACAACACCCCTGTGAGGTAGGTAAGTATTGTTAAACCCATTTTACAAAAAGGTAAACTGAGGTACCACTTGGTAATGGGGTTTGGTCAAGTCCACCTGACAAGTCACAAAAGCACAGCTGGAAACAAAGAGAAAGAAACAAAGAAAGGTCAGTCCTGACTCCCAGCCCTAGCCACTAACCTTTATTTCAAAATATTAGGAAATAAAATAATTGCCTTTTTTGAAGTTTAGACAAACCTTTAAGTATTCCAATAAACATGTGTCTTTCAGATTCCTGTTGAGTAGAAAAAGGGCAGATGGCCAAATGGCTTTTCCTCCGCTCTCTAAGTGTAATTCCCATGATAGATCACGACGGACCAGCATTCCACCAGAGCTCAGCCTCTAAACTCAAGGACATTCTTAAAGCTTCACATAGTTTCTCATTTATTTAAAGCCCTACTGTGAAAGCAAGACCTGTTCTCCAACAGCTGCTCTACAAGTTGCTCTGTGGAGCTTAATGAGAATTTTGTGGAGAGCAAGAAAGGAAACAAAATCCCCAATAAAACGTCTCATCACTGTAGAGAGAAGGACAGTGGTGATGGTGTGAAATTTGCTTTTCTGTTGTGTTTGAGAAACCGCAAACTTGAGCTTGCAAGAATATTTTATATATATATATATATAAAATATATAAATATATACAGTATATATATAAGTGTGCATCTGATGACCCTTAAGGCACCAATGAGATATAGGCTATGCCTTTCACAACTCGGTCTTTGTTTTCCGAGAGAAATTTCTCCCCCTCATTCAAATGAAAAATAGTTCGTCTACCAAATAGTCCATGACAGCAAATCCTTCAAAAACAACAAACATCTTTAACTTAAGATGGCTGATTATTAAGATAGGGATGATGGTGATATCATCTATAGCTTAGAGCTTAAATCTAGCGCTTAGGTCTAGAGCTTATTGCTTAGAATGAGCCAGGCACAGCCAATCAAACTGGAACAGACAGGCCAGTGACCAGATGTTGCACATGACTGTTTCTCTTCCCCTCCCCCACAACCCCCCCACTCCCCAGTAGCTGATGGAAAAACCTTTCTGTGACCAAC